CTCGCGCCACCAACTCGGCCGGATCGCCGAGTAGGCAGCGCGACCCTCGACTACGTGGAAGTTGTCCCCGTGGTCGATGCTGTCGAGGATCGTGGCCTGGCGAGGGGGTTCTCCTTCCCCTTTTCCTGCTGTTCCGTTTGCGGGCTTTCGGGGGCCAGACTCATCGCCACGCCTACACGCGGCTCTGCAAACGAGCCAGGATGGTGCTTCGGAGGGGTCTGGGGGTCAGCGTTGAGCGGAGATCGCGGCCCGTCTGAAAGGGGTGAGTGAAGATACACGTGATACTTTCCGTCACGACGCACAGGCAGCAAACGCGCCGATCCCGCTGGTGCTCTACAGTGTGTGGCGGTGCGCTGGGAGCTCGAGAGCCCCCAGCAGGGCCGAATCGCTGCCGCACCAAGGGGGGGAGCTGGATGGGCATGGGGAGGGAGTTGGGAGCACGGGGCGAGGCGGTATGAAGAAGGGGGAGCATGGGCGGAAGGATTTGACAGGAGGGCGGAAGATAGGCAGAGGGAGCAGGGGAAAAGGTCTGCGGAGACCCAGGGAAGCCAAAGAAGGGCCCAAGTCATCACCAAGCAGTCGCCCTCGATCTTGCTCCCGTCGAGGAGGAAGAGGAGGAGGAGAAGGAGGAGGAGGAGGAAGAGGAGGGGGAGGGGGACCTGAGTAAACCAATGATGCAGCAACGACGCTGCAACACACCATCTCTTCACAAGTCTCCCCTGCAGCAGTCCCTGCGCGCATTCTTTAGCAATGCGGCAAGCAACTCCCTTTGTATCACAACCGCCCAGGCGACACCCCGCAGTGTAAAGGATCCACCATCCATCGTTCTAGTCGTTTTAAAAAAAGAATTGCCCTCCACCCATGTTAAGATTACACAACTCAAAAAAATGTGTCGTAAAACGTGCGGAAATCTCTGGGGAAAGCCCCATGTTGAAAAGAAGCCGCTCTTCACCCGCGTCACTGTTACGCTATTTGAAATTCTGGGCCGTAAAATGCGATGCGATCACAAATGAGGGCCGCATGCTGAAAACGAGCCGGCCCCCATTATTGCAACTATCCAAAAATGAAAGTGCGCGGCGCTGGGCAAGAAACCGCATGTTGAAAGCCACCCGTCACTATTCGGTTGTATGCGTTTTTTGTTTAATGCGACGTTAAAAACGAAAATCACGTTTTTAATAACACCTGCGTCCATCAATGCAACTGGTGGAAACGCGAGAACCACATGTTGAGAAAACCCCGCATCGTCCCCCATCCGTGTAGCTGTCGGAGTGTTCGATGCTTCTGGGTAGCAAGTTGCAGAAATCGCAAGCGAAACGCCCGAGACGGCCTACGGATACGCCTGGCGGTGCGAGTGGCGAGCCATCTATAAAGAAGAAGGATGGAGGAAGCGGGTGGGAGGAGGAAGAAGAGGAACAGCAGCAACTGGAATTGCGGGTGGCAATGGTGACAAGCGGAAGCATGGCGGCAAGGGTAACATGAGACATACCAACGCGCGGGGTCCATTTCCTCTTATACATTGTACACCGCGTGCGCGCAAGAAGCCTGAATGGCAGCGGGCGCGCACGCATGCTCCTGTCGGGGCGACCGAACCATGGAGCATGCCCCTGCGCAACACTTAGGCCACAGAGGAACACCCGCAATGAGGCCTACGCAGTGGACGCGAGGCCTATGCAGTGACAGAGCATTCACCGCGAGGCCTATGCAGTGGACGCCTGGCCCAGCTCACCCATGGCTCAGGAATTCCAACTCGAACAGAACGTCGTGAACCCTGGGGAGCCCTGTCGGCTCGTCTGTGGTCAGCACGTACGTGGGATGAGCTGACCATGACCAGGTTCGCGGGTCGAAACAGCACCCCACAGCAGGCTCCTTACCCCGATGTGGCGTTGACAGGCAGATGTTGCCTGACGGCCTGGAGCAGGGCATTGCTTGCGGGGGCCCAGCGCAGATCGTGCCTGGCGCGCGCTCGAGCCGCAGCACTTATCGTGCCTTTTGGACAGATCGGTTCCCTGTTTCTCTGCGCAGCCCCTTGCAGGCACAGTTGTCCGCCCTCGACACTCTTTCGCGTGCTGGTGCCGGCGGGCGCCACTAGCCACAGCAGTGCCTGGGGCAAGCAGTACAACTGTGTTCATGTGCATCTGTGGAGTTTCACCTCGCCTGTCTTGACGAGCGCGCAATCACAAATCATCCAAATGGTTCGCGGAAGAGTGCCGCGGGCCGCTGGACCTTGCTGCTGACGACTGTCGGCCAGGACCACAGATCCGAGACGACGATGGACGGGCGCACCTCCGAGATGTCCTTCATGCCATCGCACGCGGTCGGGCCGTTGATGTGCAGCCAATCCGTAGAATGGGAGCCACGAGCAAGGGTCTTGGAAGGCCATGTCGACACTTGGCGAGCGGGGCGCGGCCAGCGAAAGTGGCTAAGGATAGGCCGAAGGGGAAGGATGCAAGGGTAATCTTGGAAAATCGTTCACCCTTCTTCTGCGGGTTGGCTGTAGTCTACTACAGGGGTCGACGGTGTCCCGCGGCGGGAAGGCGTGGGGCAGCTCCTCGATGCACAAACCGATGCTATGGTTGGTGCGGGTGCCGCGGCTGTCGGGGCAGGTGCTGCATGCAACGTTGAACAGGCGCTTGCCGCGGATGAGCCCATCCTTGCTCAGGCTGCTGGTCTTGCCCCTGCCGTCCACGGGCATGGCCGCGCCTTCGATCTCCCGTCCTGGTCGTCAGAGCCTCCGAGCGACACCTTGACTGTCGGGCTGCTCGGCCGGCGATCCCTCTGTCGGCGGCGCGCCCTGGGGGGAAGTGAGCGGGAGCGGGCCTTCTCGGAAGGCACGGAAGTCCCCCAGCCTCCTGAGAAGTTCTGCAAGCCGTCCCCGAAGGCACAGAAAACTTCTCAGAAGGCCGGAGAGCTGCTGAGAAGCCCCGCCGCCTTCTGAGAAGGCCTTCTCCTCCTCGCTTCCCCCCCCCCTCGCTCGCCGCCGAGTCTGAAGACAGGGGCCGTTGCCTCCCCAGCCGTCCGATCTACGGCAGTAGGCATCTCGGTCCTGACCCGCCAGGGCTCCGTGGCAGCTCCTGGGCAGGCGCCTGCGCGTCCGCGCACGGTCGCGCCGCACGCTGCGTTGGCGGCCATGGCGGTGCGTGGTCCCAGACGACGTGCCTCAGCGGCTTGTCGCGTGCTCCTGTGAGTGCAGGCAGCTGACTTGCTCTCCGACCACTGTTCGGCGGCGAACGAGGGAAGAAGTGAGAAGGAGAAGGCCTTCTCAGAAGAAGGCGGGACTTCTCAGAAGCCCTCGCGCCTTTTGAAAGGTTTCCGGTGTCTTCGGGGAAGGCTGGGGGGCTTCCGAGCCTTCCGAGAGGGCCCGTCTATTCTCACTTCCCCCCCTCGCTCATGCAGCGGACTGGGTCTTCGACCATTGTCGTCCGAAGTGCGCGGGATTGTGGTGGTTGTGCAGAGGTGGTGCGCAGAGTGCGCTCGGCTTCGTCTGGGACCCCTTGCGAAGCAGTGTTGCGAAATATGTTTGGTGCTTGATAGGTCGGACGCTGATCAGCAGGAGACCAGTAGTTCATCTCCCGATCGGAGCCGAAATCGCTGCCAGCATGCTGCGCGATGGGCCGCGGGTGCACGAATACGTTTTCCCGGCGCCAAAGGCGGAGACTGCATGACGTCATTGGAGGGTGATGGCGCTGATGGGCTAGCAGCCTGCACTACCGCGTGTGCGCGCGTGACTCGTGATTGTGCTCGGCTACTCAGCACGTTGAGAGGGTGATCCTGGAAAGCGGATGCCACGTGCCGAGTGCGGTTGTCAGACCTGCCGGTGCTGCCGTGTGCCGCACGCAGGGCCAGCCCGCTGACGAAAGGTTGCATGCTTGAAGTGATCCGGCCACGTGGTTGGCGTCCAGCACCAGCGAGGCTGGCGCGCAAGATTGACTACAGCGGTCGCGTTGAGGCCGCACCCGCGCCTCACGCACTGTGCAACGCACCTCCTGGCTGAAACGATGCCCCAGCGCGCGTCGCACAGCGCGCGGGCCCCTGTAGTCCTGCAAGCTCTAGGCGTGCATCAAGCGGCAGCTCTGCGCGTTGATAGTCCCTCGATGCACCGGGGGGCTAGGCCATGGCGCTGCCGCACTCGAGCCCTCACGTCGCTGTCGAACTCGTGTCGGCGGGCTCGAACAAGAAATTGGGCCTACCGAAACGCTTGAACATGACCGTGGGCATGTCCATCTCATCGTCATCGCTGAGGGTGCAGGTGCAGGCATCGTTGGTGGCCTTGTGAAGCGACTGCGTGTTTTCGCACGCTATGGAGCTGCAACCAGTCCCTGCGGCCATGTGCACCTGCTCTGGATGCTGGCCACGGCGAGATTGCAGGCGGTCGTCACGGAGAGAATGCACAAGCTGAAACACGCGAACGTGCTCCGTAATTGTCGTCAGCGCGCTGGCTACCGCGCGATGCGTTGACGTCAACCCGGAGCCGTCGTACGTACTGGCTGCAGCTGGACGTGGTGACTGCAGCACTCGTCGAATGCGTGTCTGGCCGGCTGCGGTCCAAAGCCTGGACGCCGACCGGCATTGGCGACATCAGGCGGTTGATCAGGTGCGCCCCATGGCACCAGGCTGGCGTGCCTCCTCCTCCTAGGAGAGTCTCGATGGCGATGCAGGCAGGGCGACCACGATGGCGTGCATCCTCCCCAGGCCTGCACAGGGACAGACGTCACCTTGAATTTTGCGAAAGCCGTAGAAAAAGCAGTGCTGAGGCTCTCGGCTGGGGCCAAGGGCTGTGGAACAAAGACATTAACAAGCTGTACGTCGCTCGGTGCCCGCAGCGTGCTCTCAGAGAAAAAAAAGCGATCACAACTGCGGCCAAGCCGAACCCAAGCACTGGCCCAGTCGTGCGGTACAGCGCAAGAGACGGCGTCCCGCTGCCAGTGCCGGGAAGTTGTGGTCGTGGTGAGGGCGCCGAGGCATCACGATGCCTCCTTGAGTTGGAGCCTCCTTGCACGGGGCCATCTGTCCCCCAAGAGACGATGCACGCACACGAGCACCTGCAGTCGAAGGCGGTTGCCTCATCGCGCCTGTGGATGCGTGGGGCGAATTCCCGGAAGGGGTGCAGAACAGCCAGTGGCACAAGCCGCTCGAGTACTGGAGCCTGACGTCGTTGAAGAGGTGGGGGAAAGTGCGAGTGCGCGTCCACATCGCACTCTACGCAGTTCACGTGGATCGGTGCTAGAGCTGGCTTGCACCGGCTCCGCTATCAACTGGCATTGCGAGCGGCAGTGGTGAAAAGGTCAAATGACATGGCGCCAATGGTAACATGAGAGGTAGCAAAACTCGGGGGCGGCAAAGAGGGGGGCGTCCAAGAGGGGGGGTGCAAATCATGGCTGGCAGCATGTGCGCGGCCCAGGGGGGGCCCGGGGACGTATTGAAATAAGAAGAGGCGCCATGAAATCTGGGGAAAAATCATGGCCCACGCCATGATATCCACCCCCCACCCCTAGTCATCACCCCCCTCTTTGCCGCCCCCGAAAAACGCGGGGTCCTTTCCATCAATACATGGTATACCGCGTGCACGATGCAAGCAAGAATGGCAGCGGGCGAGCACACAAGCTCCTGTTCGAGTCAGCAGGGGGGAGGAGGGCGAGGGAGAAGCATCGTGGGAGGAGGAGGAGGAGGCGGAGGAGGAGAAGGAGGAGGAGGAGGGAGGAGGAGGGAGGACGACTGGAGAACGGAGGGATGTAGGGACCCTGACTCTCAGGGAGCACTGGCATCCTGGGAGGAGAGATGCGAGCTGGGAGGAGGGCCGCCGATGCCACCGCTGGCCCCTCCTCTTCTCCAGGGAGACGGGGAGACGAACGAACGAACGAACCACCAGTGCGGACAAGTGTCCGGGCCTCGTGAGACCAGGTGGACGAGTCGGCCACACGCAGCAGTGGCAAGAGTGACCTTTGGTGCGAGGCTTTCCGGGGCCTCGAGGGGGGGGGGGGGGGGCAAATCCAACCTCACTGGGCCAGTGCTGGTGGGACCCCCGTGGGCCCGCACGAAGCGTCACTCTTACACGAAGCCGAGTGAGGCCTGAGCCTCGAGATAGAGCAGTATGCGTTGAGACATGCACGCGAAGGCCGCCCTTTCTCTCTGCGGTGTGCCGCCAGGCCTGCTCGCTCTTCGCGATCGGGCGCAGGGCGGCCCACGCCAGCTCGACGTCCGAGCCCCAGCCCGAGATGTTCGGCACGAGGTCGACCATCTCGGAGACGGTGCGATTAGCCGCGTACTGGTCGTTGATGGCCTTGCCACGGGCTCGAGGGGGTTCGAATCGGCTGGATGTTCGCCATCCTCGGCCTCTGGAGCCCCCTGTGTCGGGCCCCGGAAGCTTCAGAAATCGATCCGGAATGGAAGCCTGGCCAGGATGGACCCAGGGAGGGGACTGGGGTCCAGTTTTGAGCGGGTGTTGATGGCCTCCCCGAGGCAGTGAGGATCGAGGATAGAGGGAGGAAGGGGAGGAGAATCAAGAATCGCTCTGACCAGAGCGCACCCCATCAACGACCCGTACGAGTAGCCTCGCACTGGTCCTTGATGTGGCAGAGCCATGATCAAGACGACGGATCAAGCATACACTGTCGGAGGTCCGCGCGGAGATCTTGGGTCGGCACTGGGCCCCCCTGCGCCCATGGCGCCACCTCTGGCGCGTGCCGCGCGCGGGGAAGGCGTGCTGGAAAGAGGAATCCAGCGACGACCGAAGAAATCCGCAAGGACCTCCGAATGTGTGTGTCTACGTCAGCGCTGTCACTATCTGAAGGCCTCCCACAGGTAGTGAGCGTGGCCCCAGTCGATCTGCACCACGGGATACGCCAGGCGGAGCAGACGGGACAGTGGCACGTCGCTCGCCTTGCCCTTCTCCACGACCTCCGAGACCGGCATGGACGCCAGCGCTTCGGTGCCGCTCGGGTCGCAGATCTTCCACGCCTGGAAGGACTGGCTCTGCAGGTTGTGCCAACCTTGTCTGCGCTTCTGGTCTCTGGACGTGGGCTCGAGTCGAGCGCTGACTCCGAGCAGCACAGGACCGAACGAGGGCCCGAAAAAAGGGCGAGCGAGCGAGGGCCGGAGGAAGACACCGGAGGGGCAGCGACCGAGCGGAAACCGAGGCCCGAGACCCGCAGGCACAGCCGAGCAGTGCAAAACCTAAAGCAGGTACGGTTGCCCGCTGTGAGAGACCGGCCTGACTGCGCGAAGCCCTGCTGGTTGGTGGAATAGCCTCCACCGTTGAGCTGGTTGCAGTCGTTGCCCACGTAGCACCACTGCTGGCCAGTCCTCTTGTCGGGGGGGAAGGGCAGCAGGTCGAAGTTGACGCAGGACGGGTCCTGCCAGTTCATGAAGAAGTCGTGACACACCTTGTGCGGGAGGCCAGTGATGGGCTCGATGGCCGCGTACGCCGCAGTGAAGCCGTGCCTGCTAAGGAAGTACAGCTCATTGCCCCGGCCGCAGAAGGCCTCGTTGTTGTAATACACCTCTGCCCAGTTCAGGCAGTCGCAGCTGTCCTTCCTTCTCGTGCGGTTCTCCTTCGCGCGCTGCAAGTCCTGCAACTGGAGCGCGACGACTTGGGTCCGCGCGGCCAGGCCTAGTGCCAGGAGCGCTCTGGCCGCCATCGCTGCGCGGCCAGAGGCCCTCCCTTGGAAGGTCCCTTCGGCTGGGAACCGGAAAACACATGCCACCGACCCTGGCCAGGGCCATCCTGGACCTCGGGCTGGCGCCCGGATCCTCCACTCCACACGGTCAACATCCACAGCGAGACGCAAAGTGCCCACCGCAACGCAATGCGATCAACGCCCCAGCTGCGGGCTGTGAACGGAAGAATCCTGCCCCGAACGCTGCATGGCAGTGTGGCCGATGTCTGGTCCACGGAGGCCGCTCGGCGGAAACGAAGCCGATTCCCGATCCAGAGTGGGAAAACAAAGCGTTAGGGATGCAGGACCCTTGATCGTCCACGCTGCCACAGCTTCAGCGCCGCAGGGCCACACGGGATGGAAGTGGACAGGCAGGGATGCGAGGACGGCCTTTATGCAGAGCTGCATACTTGCGATGGTCTGGGGGTGCCCAGAGCTGCGGGGGCACCCAGAGCTCTTACTCTCTGCATCCTTTCGATGGCATGTATCCAGGAGTCTTTGGCGGTACACGAAGCTCTCCAGAGGTCCCCAGAGGCAGCTGGTCCGGTGGCCCGATAAGGGCCAAATGTGGACAGAAGATAGACAAATAAGAACATGCCCATATACATGTATATACATATCAGCAAACGTAAATGCATGCATATATAATCATTTATATATGTGTATATATATATATATAGATCGATACATATATATATATATATAGAGAGAGGTACGTGGTGCACTCCCGCAACCCTGAGCCCGAAAATGCTTAAAATATCTTGGGGGCGCATGTTTTACTTCCTCCACCTTCAGCCGCCCTTCCGCCAGTTACCGCTGGCGGAGGCGGCGTCGCTTTACTTCCGCCGCCTTCCCCCGACCTTCCGCCGCGGAAGAGATGACAACTCCTTCGATCCGCGAAGGGACGACCCTTTGTGGAACGCCTCGTCGATGTATCCACATGTGTACTCATATACGTAAACTTCTGGAACACGGCTCGAACCTCCACACACTAATACACATCCCACGCTGGGCCTGGCCAGGCCTGGCGGTGGCGGTGCGCGGACTCCGGTTCCCTCCTCGGTGTATGGACGGCGCGGGGCAGCCGTGCCCACGGCCTCGAGCCCGCCCGGGCGCGGGTGCGGGGCGCAGACCCAGAACGCCCCCCCTCCTCCAGCTCCTCCTCCTCCTCCTCCTTTTCCTCCTCCTCCTCCTCCTCCCCCTCCTCCTCCCCTCCTCCTCCTCCTCCGCCTCCTCCTCCTCCTCCTGCTACTCCCCCTGCTGCTTCTCCATTCGTTCTCCTTGCAAACAACTCCTCCTTGTCGCACCCTGAGTCGCGTCGGCATGGTAGACCAACCGTTTCGCCTGAGATTTCCTCGGCACGTATGATCCTGAGGCTTGAATTTGGCAACAGCGCACACTTGTCTTGAAAGTCTGCAACAGCTCGAAGGATGAAGGGAGGTGATTTTCAAAATGGAGCTCTTGTTTTAGAGCCGCGAACAGTCGGCTTAAAAACTTGCAACGGTTACAAGGATGGATGGGGGCGTTTTCGAAATGAAGCTCTCGCCTTAGCGCCGCGTAAAGCCGTCCTGAAAAAGCATGCAGCAATTACGATAGTGGAGCGCAGGTTGTTTTCAACATAGGGCTCTCTCCATAGCACCGCGCACATTCGTTTCAAATCCTCGCAACAGCTACGCGGATGGAGGGCGATTCGTTTTCGAAATGGGGCTCTCGCTTTGGGCACCGTCCACATTATCGTGAAAGATCGCTTTGGGATTACAGGGACGGCGACAGCTCTTTTTCAAAATGGGGCTCTCGCCTGCTGTTCTTTAAATTGGCAATCAAGAAAGTTCAGCAGATACTACAGCTGTACGGACGGGTACGGCTTCTTTTCGAAATGGGGCTCTCGCTTGAGACTGGTACGAAGGTCATGGCCAGAAGCGCAAGATGCGCGGTCGTTACGCATTCCGTAGCATGTTTGGCAACACTTTGCAAGGCAGTTCCTTCTCAAAACGGAACTCTCTCCTGAATGCCAGGCCACTGGGGTGCTGGTCTTTCAGGAAAGCGCTTCCTGTAGCGAAAAGGAGGCGACCTCAGCAAAAAGGAAAGTCTGCATTTGTAGGTCAATTATCCAGCAGCAGCTGACCGCACTAGGGGCCCTCGGGCGGCAACACCTGCACATGATGCCACCACCCGCCCCCATGAAGAGAGACGAGGAAAGAAAAGCTGGGGGGAGGGGAAGGCGGAGGTGCTCTTCAAGTTCCGAGATGCGCACCTCAATGAGCCCTGATACGGCAAGACTCGGATCCCCAGAGGGTGGCACCTCCCCTCCTTCTTCCCCATACTATTCCACATCCCCCCCCCATCGTCGTTGACCTCGTCATCCTTCCATCCTCAGTGCTCTATTTTCCATGGCCAGTCATGTTCGATCCTCCTCCCCCGCGTCCGTTCCTTCTCTCTCTCTTCCAGGCCCTGCCGATATGCATTATCCTTATCCACGTCCTATCCTCCTCATCACCAGAAGCATCCTAGTAATCACAAGCACGACCATAACCTTCACGACCCTCAGCATCCTCATCAGCATCCGCATCATCAGCAGCAGCATCATTATCATCATCATCAACTACAGCATCATCAGCATCAGGACCAGCATCAGAATCATCAGCAGCATGTTCACAATCATCATCATCATCATCATCATCATCATCATCATCACCACCATCATCAGCATCACCCTCATCAAAATAATCATCATCAGCATCATCACCGTCATCGTCATCAACAGCATCATCAACGTCAGCAGTATCATCAGCAGCACCATGATCATCATCTCATCATCAGCATTACCAGCAGCAGCAGCAGCAGTATCGTCATCAGCAGCATCAGCATCAGCATCATCAGCAGCATCGGGGTCAGCATCAGCATCATGATCATCAGCATCATCATTACAAGCAGCATCCTGATGATCAACAGCATCATCAGCATTAGCAGTATCACGATCATCAACAACAGCGTCATCAGCATCAGCAACAGCATCGTCAGCAGCAGCAGCATCAGCATCATCATTAGCATCAGCGTCATCATCATCGGAAGACGCACCAGCATCATTATCCGCCTTCTAATCCGCATCATCAGCATCATCCTCCTTACCGACAGCATCATCACCATCATCAGCCGCATCATCATCAATCACAGCATCATCATTGGCATCATCATCAGCATAAGCATCATCAGTCTGGCAATCATCATCAGCATCGTCATCACCACCAGTATAAACAGCATCACCATTACCCGCCTCCCCCAACCATCATCATCAGCATCAGCATCAGCATCAGCATCAGCATCAGCGTCAGCGTCAGCATCATCATCACACTGATCAGCATACGCATCATCTTCATCATCATCATCGTCGTCGCCGTCGTCGTCATCATCAAAAATCTTTATCACCGTCGTAGTCATCCACATTGCCGTCACCATCGTTTGAGGCGCATCACCGTGTTCAACAAGTGCTTCGGAATCGCACTCAGCATCCCCATCATCATCAGCAGCAGCATTAGCATCGTCGTTATCGGCATCGTCGTCGTCATCAGCATCATCAACATCATAATCCTCATCAGCATCAGCCGCATCATCATCAGCAGTGTCAACACACTCATCACCACCATCGTCGTCATCATCATCAGTATCATCATCGTCAGCATCACCAGCACATTCCAAATCTGCATCATCGTCGCCAACATCAGCATCATCGTCATCATCGTCACCATCATCAGGGTCATCATCACCAGCATCATCAACTACATCACCATCAGCACCATCGTCATCAGCATTGTCGCCATTAGCATCACCATCAGAATAGTCATCAGCATCAGCATCATCAGCACAAATCGCGCCATCGTAGGAGTCAGCCTCGTCGATGTCGTCAGGGCCAAAACAAAATCCGAATTGTCACCGACTGAATCATCCTCCATTTCCAGCTCAAACGCCCCGTCCATATTTCTCGTGACCCTCATCGGCATACGCATCGTCCTCATCACCGTAGTCATGATGCTGATGACGATGCCGGTGATGATGATGATGATGCTGATGATGATGATGCTGATGATGATGATGAACCTCCGCATCACCCCCAGCCTCATCATCATCATCAGCAGCAACAGCAGCATCATCACCGCCGCCCTCATAATCGGCACCACCATTATCACCACCACCTCACCACGATTCTAGCAGCATCAGAATCATTCTCCCCATCCGCATCCTCATCACCATCATCATCATCATCAGCAAAGCATCAGCAAAATCAGTATCCTCATCGTCGTCAACATGATCACCGTCATCATCATCATCATCATCAGCATCAGCAGCAGCAGCATCATCATCATCAGCAGCAGCATCATCATCATCATCAGCAGCATCATCATCAACAGCATCATCATCAGCATCATCCTCATCAGCACCATTATCATGACCATCATCATCAGCATCATCATCGCCGTCGTCATCACCAGCCCGATCAACCGCATACGCCATCTCATTCACCTCATCATCATCCCACCCTCACCCTACCACCACCACCACCACACCCCCATCCATATGAACTCTGCACATATTGAGCTTCGTGCGCCCTCTCCCTTCACCCCCAGCTCCCTTCCCCATTCATCCTCGCTCCCTCTCTCTCTCAATCCCTCGTTCTCTATCAATCTCTCTCGCTCTCTCTCGTTCTCTCTCTCTCTCCGCGGGCGGGCGCACGCTGGCTGACGGGGCGTGGGCGAAGGAACCCCGAGCCTCTGCACAACAACGCGACGCCCAGCCCCAGCGTGGGGGGCGTCAGAGGGCTGAAGCGCTGGCGCAGACCGATGGCGGGCCGTC